ACTTACTTAGACCTGCTCGCGGGCTGCGCAGTCGGCCGCGGACACGCAACCAGATGCCGCGTAGCAGCGTCCCCGCGCGCCGCTTCCGTCGCTCCACATCGTCCTCCTCCCGGCGAGGGGCCGCCGCCGTCGCCTCAGTCTAGCTCTAGCCGGAGGTCCTGCGGCGCCTTCTTGACTCCTCCACTTCCGGCCCACACGCGGTGTCGCCAGCAAATACTCCCGGTGGCTTCCACATCACCAGCTCTCCGCCTCTCTCCCTCCGTCGCTGCCAATAGTGGGGAATGCGCATGCGTAGAAATCGAGGCCCGGGGCGTCCCTGAGACGGTGGCCGAGACGGACAAGATACGTCGGCGCCTGGCCGCAGGCATTTTCGAGTTTTCCGTGGGATTGTCTGCGCTGCAGAGGGCTGTCTCGCGACCTCCCCGCCCCAACGCGAAGACTCTGGGGTGAGAGCTCGGAACCCACCAGCTCTCTCTGCTGAAAGCACGTTTTCAGAAGAAAGGGTCTGGCTTAGAAGGTTGTTAGGAGTAGAGGAGTGAGTCCCTGTGCTTTAAACCGCTTCCATTAACTATTTTTCTCTTTTTTGTTTTCTCCTGACCCTGCCCTCTCCTACTTCTGTCCGAATGGACCATAGGGCAGATTGAGATTTTTGTGGGGCCTGAACCTTGCGAGAATTAGGGAGCCCTTTTAAAGAAAAAGAATGCAACATTATCTTATTTTTGCAAATTACTAAAGTACAAGACCAAGGGAACATTGCTAGGGCCACTTTCGGGGTCTTAGAAGTGGCCCCACAATTGTGCCCCTGAAACTAGAGCTTTATTAGCTTCACCGTCAGCTGTCCTGGACACGTAATTGTACTGGATTGTTTACAGATGCCTGTCCCCTGTCACTTGGCCATTCCCTGTTCTGTGTACACTTTTATATTTACAGAATTTGTTGATTTCTGCTAGCAGATCAAGAGCTCCAGGTCAAAAAAAAAAAAAAAGCTTGATAAAAGTGTGGACAAAAAGGGGCCACATGCTAACCTCGCTAATTTAGGCAAGGCCTGTGCAGCGGTCTTGCAAGCTCAGAGACCTAAAGTAACAACAAAGGATGGTCTGATATTAAAACTTTTTAATGAAAAAGCAGCCTATGGTGGGTAGTCAGGTCCTACACCAGTATTTTCCCTGACAAAGGACAAAGACCAACCTTGATCTTAAACGAGCCTATTGTGCGTGTGTGGTTTTTTTGTTGGTTTTTCTTTTCTTTTTTTTTGCATCTATGATAACATAACTTTGGAATGTCAGGGTAACTTATAACTTCTTTTTCCCTGACCTCTCAGGGCACCAGGGCTGAGACTACAAATTCCCTCATTGTTACTGTTATCGTGTTCATTGTTGACTGCTAACTATGCTGTAACCACTTATATAAAAGAAGCATGTGTCTATCATTTTACTTTTTACCCAAACTCAGGTTTTCCTTGCTTTGCTTTCTCCCACCTCCCTAATCCATCACCAATGAATTTCATGTAAGCTACTTACATCTCCTCCTTTGATGGTGATTTATAAAAATAGGTGAAAAACTGCCATTTTCCAGAGCGTTATCTCAATATGTTTAGATTCTGCTTCCTGGCAATTGTCCAGTTTGGCTCAAATAAACTCCCAAAAATTCTTTACAGGTTTGAATGTTTCTTCTTCTTTTTTTAATTGTCTAAAGTTTTACCTATGTCTCCTTTTCCCCCAATTGACCCCTCCCTCCCATATGTTTCTTATGTTAACATTAACTTCCTTTTGTTGAGCACCAAAGTGCCAGGCACTAAGGTAGATTGCTTACATAAATAAACTAATAATCACAGCAGAGCTATAAGATGCGTAATGAAAAACCCTTGATTCTCTTTGAACCAACCATAAGAAAGTCTAAAATAATAAAATGTCAGTAAAAATCAACAGCTACTAAAACCTAAGGACTGGGTTTGTTTTCATTTCTCAATCCTCTATATGTAGGGCATTTACTATGTCATAGTAGGTGCTCAATAAAGGTTTGATGATAACTTTATTTTGAATCCTTGAACAGATACTAGAAGAGTCCATAGTTGATTTCTGGGCAGCTGTTTATAACTGTATTATGAGTTATATATCATGTGTTCATTATGAATTATGTATTATTTCTGTATTAAGAGACAAGAATGTTACAAGAAAGGGGACCTGGCCCTTAGCACAGCTGCTTAGGGCTGACCAGCAGTGTGTGGGTTCTTGACTCCATGCAGGAAAAATTGTACAACATGAGTACAGGTGAATTTTAAAGGACACTTATTAAAGCTGGGAACAGTGAACCAAGGAAGGGCCTAGGACAGGGGTGGGCAACCTTTTTGTGAGTGCGTGCCAAAACCAGCAAAATCTCTGACTCAAAAATTCTTCTGCGTGCCAACCCTAATTTTTTGAGAACGTTACGCCTACTTGATATCTCTTAAGGTATACGCACGTGAAGAACCTTGAAGAAATAATAAAATTCATTCAAGCGACAAAAACACAGTATATGACAGTGATGGCGAACCTCCTGAGCTCGGCGGTCAGCATTTTGAAAAACCCTAACTTAACTCTGGTGCCGTGTCACATATAGACATTTTTTGATATTTGCAACCATAGTATGAAAAAGATATTTTTGATATTTATTTTATATATTTAAATGCCATTTAACAAAGAAAAATCAACCAAAAAAATGAGTTCGCGTGTCACCTCTAACACGCGTGTCATAGGTTCGCCATCACTGGATTAGAG